TAATAATAATAATAATAATAATAATAATAATAATAATAATAATAATAATGATAATCACAACAATTTTTTAAATGGAAGTATTTCATGCAGAGGTATAATTGGTAAAGCTTCAAATATGTCAAAGTCATTCAATTTATTTTATTTTTTTTTTATTAAGATAGAGAAAAATCTAATATGGGAGGCAAGAGATAGAGGGTGTAGTTCGCAAAGTTAAAGCTTATGCTTTACATAATTTTAGCTTAAGATATCAAGGCTTAAGGCAGTGGCGTCTAGCTCTGCTCCTCGCACTGGTCTAGTAGAGATTCGGATTTTATCCTTTACAATTAATATAGAGACTCGCATTGCATTAGCAAATCACCTTCCCATGCTGTCGCATGATTAAGAGAATTCTTTGTGTGCCTCACTTCAGTCGGTAGCACTTTCATTCAAAGCGCGTGCCACGACAGGCTCGGGATAAGAGCATCAATTGGGCGAGAGCGTGGCGTCGTCATTCGATTTGATTTATGCCGAATGACACTTTGGAGCTGCCGTCATGTCGTTAATGAGATGCAAATGCTCTAACCGCATTTTATTTATGAAACGCAAATTGTCACGCGCCGTGCTGAGGCCTGTTGCGGCCGTAAGAAAATACGCGCAAGTTGCAAGCCTTAATTCATAAATTGCGTATACGCACGGGTGCCGCATGTGTTTAAGCGCCGCCCAAGCCTAAATATGCGGGCATGTATGTCACTGAGCTTTGCAAACACACACACACACGCACACACACAGACACGCACAATAAAGTGCTTTCTTGTGTGTGTGTGTGTGTGTGTGTGTGCGTGGGGCCTCTGTGTGTCGGGCTGATAAATAAATGTCGCACGCAAGTCGCTGTAAAGATTATCATTTATAAAGAGCATAAGGGCTACGAAAACTGCGTGGTACTCGGACCGCCAGAGAGCCGTATAGTCCGAGAGCGAGAGAGGTGAAAGGCGACAAGCTTGAAGCAAGTGAAGCCATACGTAGGTGCACGCTTGGGCACACTTCAGGCTCGATGGTTCGCCGCTTTTTTTACGCGTACGTGGGCACATTTGACCGTTGGGTCGACGTGCCGTATACGTAATGTGCCCACACACATGGACATGGACACGGACATGGATATGGACGACATAGAAAACATGCGTGTGCGCCTGTTTGTATGGGTAGTGACATGTCATGTGCGCTCATTTCTCTCCTCTTCTTCATTCTATTTTCCTTCTTTTTTTTTTTTTTGGCTTTGTCAACGACTATTTAGTGCAGAAAATGCGTAAATTATTTACATAGGGCAATGCTGTAAAAGCATTTAGTGCTGGGAGCCAGCAGCGGCCATGCCCAGTCATTCGACGATGATGATGATGGTGGTCGACAGCAAATGACATGGCAAGGTCGTCAGCAAGGTCGCATCTTTTATGCTTGTGGCACGCGCTGTACAATTGGTCAGCCGGGCAGCTGGGCAGCTGGGCAGCCAGCCCTAGGGCGGACTGAAAAATCTTAATTAAACCATAAAAATTAAAGATTTATGAAATGATTTTTCAGTCCACTGCAATCGCCGTGCAGCAGCAGCGCAAGGGACAGATGCGAATAAAATGCTTGACAATAAAGCCAACTTAGCTCGGAAGCCACCAACCGCCAGCCGCCAGCCGCCAGCCGCCAGCCGCCAGCCGCCCCACTGTCTGACAATTTAAAGCCACTTGATTTGGTGTGCGTGCCTAATGCTTGGATTCTCTGGCCGGGACTCAAGCGTTTGGTAATCCAAGCCTCTTGTGCGCTTGCCACTCGACGTTTTAGCTATTCATTAGTGCGCTCGGTGGGTTAACGTTGAATAGTAGTTCAACTAGAGACACCGGCCCCTCCGACACTACCGAACCGCCTCACCATCCCACCGACCGACCAGTCGTTCAGTTAGCTGAGTCAGGCTTACCGCAAATAATAAAATTTCTGCGTGGTAGGCAGTCGTAAGGAACGTGAAGCAGGCGGGAGCGGGCGGCTGGAAGCTCTAAAGACCAAACGAGCCACTTGAATGTATTGCCGCCTTGCCCCGCACACACTGGGCCACAGAAGTGTATTCCGTTTGCACATATATAACAAAATATTAATGACTGCTAGGGCTTTTGCTTTTACTTCAAGTGAATTTCAAGCAGATGACCATTTAAAAGATTTGCGTATTGTACTTAGGTCAGATTGGAAGAAGAGTCTATCGAGATTTCTTAGCAATTTAAATGGTTTAAATGTGATACCCCAATTGCTGTACTGCACTTTCTGAAATTCTCTGTCTGCTCAACCGTTATCTTGCAGGTGAGCGGCTCATACAGTATGCCAGCGAGAATCTTGTGACGGAGGTGCTCATACATCCGCAATACAATACGCTTATACAATGCATGCGTAATCTACTCAGTAGTTTTACGAGGCATCGCCATATTATACACGCTGGCTACACCTTTAGCGGCAACGGTTCTTGGATCCTACAGGTTGGCCACGAGCCCGGAAGGATGATGCGTATGCTAATATGGTTTTACCTTGTGCTTTTCAGGACGGCACCTTCTCGGTGGCTGACTTTGCGGAGGCATTTCAAGAGCACGACGTACAAAGGGTGATACGTGCCTATGCGGACACCATAACGATGAATATACACTGTGCAGACGCTGGTCTATGGCACACATTGCCGGATAAGGTATTTTCGCGACAGTGTAAAATACGCATCAATCCGGTGGATGTCCTGGACACCAGCAGCGAGTCCATCAATGGCTTTATAGGTACCACTTGACGCCAACAAGAATTCATGTTCGAATTGAGCGCACTGACTTTTCGCTTTTTTACAGATTATCTGGCGCCCATGGTGGTGCCAACGTCACTGCGCGAGCTGCTGGAGACGTCGGATGTGGTGGGCAATATACGCTTTACACACCCAACGCTCTACGTGTTTCCCGGGGGCCAGGGCGATGCCGCGCTCTTTGGCATCAACGGCTTTAATATGCTAGGTAAGTAAAAAGCTATGGGAGCTAAAAAGAAAAGATTCCGGAGTAATTTCTGTGATTCCGCAGTTGATGGCGGCTTCAATCGCAAGGCCTGCTTCTGGGACTTTGCACGGCATTTGGACCGGCTGGATGCGGTGCTGATGACGCGCCTGAACAACAGCAATGTGCAGGGACTTGGGGCTGTGGTGTCACGCAAGCGGGACTCTCATGTCTATCCACAGATTGGTCATTTCTTTGGCAATGTTCCCGATCGGAAGGGTGGACTGCCCAGTCCTGACGGCGATAAGGATCGTAATCCACTGCTGATCGATCTGTTTGAGCGCGGTCACGCCTTGGTCAACGATCTAAAGTCGCTGGATCTCAAGCCGCAGTGCTGCTATCGCAATCAAGAGCCTATAAATCTCTACCACAAGGTTGGTCACGGTACCCTGGATATGTATGTGATAAGTCCTTCGCGGGACTCCAAAGAGGTCAAAGAGTTTCTACAGAAATGGAATTCCGGAGATCAGCGTCTGTTCACCGCGCGCGACACCAAGGAGTTTAACTTCCCCCTGCAGAATTTGGTATCCATTTGTGCGCTGCTCGTCTGGCAACCGGCTAACCCGGATGATACCATTACGCGTATCCTTTTCCCGGGCAGCACACCCGACTTTAAGATCCAGGAGGGTCTGGAGAAGCTCAAGCATCTCGAGTTCATGAAGCACTCCACTTGCACGGCCAAGTCAATAGCTCCAGCTATACAGACAGTGACAAGCACCAGAAAGACACTCAAATCAGCTATTGAAGGCACTCCGCCCAGCGCTAGCTATAAGCCCAGCAAATTTGGCCCAACTGCCATAGCAGCCGTGGCCGTGCAGCAGGATAACAAGGCAAAGGAGGCTAAGGAAGCAGCAGCAGCAGCAGCGGCAGCAGCAGCAGCTGCCGCAGCAACCGCTGCAACTACAACTGCTTTGGAGATACCTGGCGATCAAGTGGAGCGACCCACACCTCTTTTGAGTGCTAAGGCGGACTCCATAGACACGGATGAGCCAGACGCTGAGCCTGAACCGGAGCTCGCTATCGACACCGGTGACGAGGGAGCGCCAGAGCCTTCCGTCCCCTCCACGGAGCCAGTTGAGCACGAAGACAACAAGGACACTGATGAGGAGAAAAAGGTGGAAGTGCTGATTGTCAAGCCACAGCCGGCAGCTGCTGTCAAGGACGCAGTTGATGCAGCCGCCACCGAAGCCAGCAGCAAGACAGCAAAGGCCGCCAAGGGCAAGCCGGACAAACCTCGAGCGGAAGTCAAGCCAGTTGTACGCTCGAGAATTGACAGCAAGCCGCCAAAGTCTATGGACCGCAAGTTGGTGAAGCGTGAGGACAAAAAGAGCTCACCTACGGCCACGCCAGCTGTAAGCCGAACGCCAGCGACGCGCGATGTCAAGCCTAAGGTAATGACACGCACCACTAAGTCCAGTCCCAGCAGCACACCTGCCAAGAGCGCCAAGGAGGCCAACAACCGCAAGGTGCTTGAATCCAAGCAACAGGCGACCGCGGCTCGGCAGAGCACAACCAGCACACGTCGCACTGTTGCCACCATGGAGAAGAGGTCTGTGGCGGAGTCAAAGACAACGCCGCAAGCAACGATGCAAGCAGCGCAGCGCAAGCCTATCTCCCGAAGGCCACGAGGAGTCTCTCCATCCAAGCGAGCTCCGGCCCCTGGCAGTCCCATTAAGTCAGCTAAGCCAAAACCTGATTTGAAGAAGTCACGACTGGATAAGGGTGGTACCACAGACTCCAGCTTGGTGTCCACACCGTCCGCAGATGAGGCGACAGCAGCCAAAAAGATGTTAGAGCTAAGTGCTTCACAAGAGTTAGATGCTGAAAAGCAACGGGAATTGGATGACCTCAAGGAAGAACAGGAAGTTGTGCGAGAAATTGAGGCAGTTTTTAGTCGGGACGAGATGAAACGGCAGCACTTGATCAAAGCGGAGCTGCGTGAGATGGCCAAGCAGGATAGCACAACGGAGGCCGAGGAAGAGGAGGAATACTTAATTATTGAAAAGGAAGAGGTAGAACAGTATACAGAGGACTCAATTATTGAGCAAGAGCAAGAGAGCAGCATGACTAAGGAGGAAGAAATTCAAAAGCATCAGCGCGACTCGCAGGAGTCAGAAAAGAAGCGTAAGAAAAGTGCAGAGGAGGAAATCGAAGCCGCCATCGCAAAGGCTGAAGCTGAGGAGCGTAAGGCTCGTTTAGAAAGTAGTGAAGCAGCTAGGCATGAGCTGCACGAACATTTACACAGCCCTGAGAAAACTGAGATCAAGGCTGAGGTTCAAGAGATCATATCCACTGCCAAGGACATTGTCAAGTCTCGCACTGATGAACTGCCGCAGGCTAAGCATGCTGAAGAAGAATTTTCTTCCCCTACTCCTGATGATAAGCTCAGTAGCGCCAAGAAAACTTCTGATACTAAGGACGAGCTGATTGAAGCTCCTGAGTTGCCGCCCATTAATTTGCAGGAAAGTCTTCCAGAGGAAAAATTCTCCGCCACAATTGAATCCGGAGCTACCACAGCTCCTACCCTACCCGAAGATGAACGCATTCCATTGGACAAGATTAAGGAAGACTTGGTCATTGAGGAAAAATATGTCAAAGAGGAAACCAAGGAGATCGAATCGATTGTTGTAGCTACCGTTGCAGTGCCTGTCGCAGCAACGACAGCGGCCTCCATCATCACACCAACCGAAACAAAAATTGTGGTCGCTACTGAGCCGCTTGCCGCTGGTATGGATTCTGCAGAGAGAGTCTTACCCAAGAAAATGACATTTGAGGCACAGCAGAATCTAATGCGGGATGTTATAAAAACACCTGATGAGGTGGCAGACTTGCCAGTACATGAGGAAGCTGACCTTGGGCTATATGAGAAAGACACACAAGACGCAGGAGCCAAGAGTATTTCACATAAGGAAGAAACGGCCAAAGAAGAAAAAGAAACCGAAGATGAAAAAGTTGTCAAGGATATTGATGTGGAAGAGGCAACCGAACATATTCCTAAGCCCGAGATTATTGCAAAGACAGAGACAACTCCCAAGAAGGAATCCGACGAAGAGACTGCGGTTCCCATTGTTCAGAAAACTGATGTTATAAGTGAAGCGATTCCGGACAAAGATAATGTAGCGATAACCCAGGAGCAACAAGGCGAAAAAATCGATAAGAAGCTAGCCAGTACACCAGATGAAAAAGAAACTAGCGATATAACTTCCGAAGATGAATTGCCAGCACACCCTGTCCAACCTACCGCTGCGCCGACAAAAGTGAAAGATCGTGAAGACACAGTATCTCTAGAAAGCCCAGCAACAATTGAAGAAGCCATTGAGGTTGAAGTGCAAATAGCAAAGAAGGAAGCAACTGGAGTATCAACAATTAAACCAGGTGAAGTGGAACTACCTAAAGCAGCAATAGAACTAAGCAAACAAAAAATCTTACAAGACTTAGAAAAACCAGAAAGCTCAAAAGATGAAACAGTTTCTACAGAGCAGTCCCGTCGCGAATCTGTTCAAGAAGGTACGAAGGCAGAAGGTTTAAAAGGCGAAAAGTCTTTGCCAGGCTCTATGGAAGCATCCAGACCTGAATCAGTAGCCGAAAGTGTGAAAGACGAGCACGTGAAACCTGAAAACATCGAGGAAAAGTCGACAGAACCATCTAGACGAGAATCCGTTGCGGAGAGTCTTAAGCCAGACAGCCTAAAGGATGATAAGTCCCAACCAGTCTCTCTGGAGCCATCGCGACCACATTCCGTGGCCGAAAGTGTGAAAGATGATTACGAAAAGCCTGAGAGTCCTAAGGATCAAAAGTCTGCAGAGCCTTCGAGAAGGGAATCAGTTGTGGAGAGCTCAAAACCTGAAAGCTTAAAAGATGACAAGTCTTTACCTATTTCCAAAGAAACATCACGACCAGGCTCTGTAGTCGAAAGTGTGAAAGATGAACATGAGACACCGGAAAGTCTTAAGGACGAGAAGTCTAAAGAGCCGTCCAGAAAAGAATCTCTAGCAGATGGTACAAGGGCCGGTATAGACAACAAGTCTCTACCTGTTTCAAAAGAACCATCACGACGGGGCTCTGTGGTAGAAAGTGTGAAAGATGACCACGAGAAGCCAGAAAGTGTTAAGGACGAAAAGTCTGGAGAGCCTTCCAGGAGAGAATCAGTTGCAGAAAGCATTAAGCCTGACAGTTTGGAAGATGACAAGTCCCTTTCTGCCTCCAAAGAGCCATCAAGACCTGACTCTGTCGCCGAAAGTGTGAAAGACGAGCATGAGAAACCAGAAAGTGTTAAGGACGAAAAGTCTGGAGAGCCTTCGAGGCGAGAGTCCGTTGCAGAGAGTACTAAGCCCGAAAGTTTGAAAGACGACAAATCGCTGCCTGTCTCCAAAGAACCGTCCCGCCCAGATTCTGCTGTTGAAAGTGTGAAAGACGAGCATGAGAAACCAGAAAGTGTTAAAGACGATAAGTCTGCAGAGGCTTCCAGGAGAGAATCCGTTGCAGAAAGCATTAAGCCTGACAGCTTGAAGGATGACAAGTCCCTTCCTGCCTCCAAAGAGCCATCAAGACCTGACTCTGTCGCCGAAAGTGTGAAAGACGAGCATGAGAAACCAGAAAGTGTTAAGGACGAAAAGTCTGGAGAGCCTTCGAGGCGAGAGTCCGTTGCAGAGAGTACTAAGC